TTTGTGACTATGCAGCCCCCACTTGTCACTTGTCTCACAAAGTGACATTGCTTTGACATCGTAAAATTGTTGTGTAAAGTTTACAAAAAGGTTTATAAAAACAATTACACCTGGAAATGCATAATTTTATTGCTTATAAAACATTGCCGTTGCTCTGTGTTCCGTAATGATGAACAGTCGTGGATCTTGACGCAATGCACGTGACACCGATTGACACGGCTGCAAACGGACTGTTGCGCACGTAAAAAAATTGGACACTACCGATCGCTGACCTCACTTTGAAGAAGCTCGGTACCCTCCACTTTTAGACACACCTCGCCACGCGGCACATTGCATAACGACACAACCATGGCGTCCGGAACAGCGAGAACGGTCATTTTGTCGGCCAGCCGCCTGCAGAGCGCTTCAATGCGCCCTCTGCGCCATTTGCGCCCGTCATTCCTCGTCTGTGGACGTGTCGCCTGCTGCGCCGCCGCCGTCACAGCATCCCACGCCCGCCACCGGACGCCGATGCTGCAGCGCCTCTACTCGACAGAGTCCTCTTCTCCCGCCGCCTCCCCTTCACCACGCACCCCCTCGCCAGCCAATGACGTGGTTGAGCGGTACCGCAGCCGGCTCGAGAGCAAGGCGCAGAAAGAGGGCGTGGCCGACATTGACCAGCTGCGCGCGGCCTACATGGACAAGATCGAGGCACTGCGGCGGCGCGATGCTGTTGTTCCCGAGGGGGCCAATGTGGCCGCCGACACACCCACACTCGCCACGTCCGAGCCGGCCTCGGCAGAATCGTCCCGGCCGTCGACACCGGCATCCGAGTCAGCATCCTCCGAAGCGTCGACAGCGAGCTCTGCGTCCACGACTGCTGCGTCGCCGACCGCCTCGGCCGCCTCGGCCGCGTCAACACCCCGCGGCGTCCGCCCCCTCGCATCGCTGCTCGACCTCGACAAAGTGCGCACGCTGCCCGTCGAGGAACTGTCGGCCGTCTGGCGCCTCCGCTTCGCCAACGACCCGCTGTCGCTGTGCGCCGTCATCCCCGCCCAGACATATGCGGCCATGGAGGCGGCCGCACGCGCACGCCCGCAGTTTGTGCTGCCCGTGCCGCACCCGGAGCAGGGCGCCGAGATTCACTTTTTGCAGTGGACGTTTGACACGCGGGGCGAGCCGGCTACGGCGCCGTCGAGCACCGTGCTGTTTACGCAGCTGGCCGAGTACAAGGTGCGCGGCGAGTTTGCGGCGCCACACACGACGGTGACGCACTACACGGACCTTGCGGCCGACTGCGGCGTCGTGCTGATGCAGGGCCAGGTGGCGGACGGCCGCGGCGTGACGGCCGACCACGCGCAGTGGCTGGTCATGTGCCTGCAGCGCTTCTATGGCGCCTGGGCCATCCCCGGCACGCCCGGCTCCCAGGACCAGAACAGCGCGCTCGACGAGGGTGCGCGGGCGCGCCGTCTGCTGTTGCAGTGGTTTGCCGCCGGCGACCCGCAGTTTAGCATTGAGCGGCTAATGGAGGAGGTGGAGAAGCTGGCATGAGTGTACCGGGATACAGACCGGGATCCCACGAGACACCACATGGATAGGATGGTGTATGATACGACGAACGTCCAAAAAGCGGCCTTGGTGCTGTAATGGAAAACGCACAGACGGCACGCATTTGTATAGATATAGATAATATCCAACAATAACGAGAAGAAGAAACGTCCCCATGTACTATACCGTCTGCTCTCCTTCCTCTTGTATTTAATTGCACCCTGTTTGTCTACAGCTTCGACGCCCCGGCCTTCTCGGCCTGCCGTACCTGGTCGCGTAGTACCCGCCGCAGAATCTTGCCGCTGGGTGACTTGGGAATCTCCTTGACAAAGTGCACGCCGCCGCGCAGCTTCTTGTGTGGCGCTGTCAGTGACGCCAACCAGTCGACAATCTCCTTGGCCTTGGCTGCGTCTGTCGGCAGGCCGGGCTTCATCACAACGTACGCCCGCGGCACCTCGGTCGCCTGCGCCTTGTCCTCCACGCCAATCACACCCGCGTCCGCAATGTCCTTGTGGCCCAAAAGGATGCCCTCGAGCTCGGCTGGCGGCACCTGGAAACCCTCTGCAAGATGTTAGTCAAAAGGCGGAATCGTCAGGAACATGCAAGGACAATCAGAGGAATGTCCAATGGGGCGCAACAACGTACTGTACTTGATCAACTCCTTGAGACGGTCGACGCAGGTAAAGTTGCCGTACTTGTCGGCAATGAAAATGTCGCCCGTTTTAAAGTAGCCGTCCGCTGACATTGTCGCCTTTGTGTTGTCTGGCAGGTTCAGGTAGCCCTGGAAGACGTTCGGGCCCTTGAGCCACAACTCACCAGGCTTGCCCAGCTCCGCCACATCCGTGCCCTCGTCCGGGTCGACGAGCCGTGCCTGCATGTTCGGCAGCAATCGGCCCACCGAACCCATGAACTTGCCCCACTCGTGCAGCAGCTGCATCATCGCGACAGGCGACGTCTCGGACAGGCCGTAGCCCTGCTTGACAGGAATCTTGAGTCGGTCCCACAGCGCTGTTGCGAGCTCAGGCGTTAGCGGCGCCGCACCGCTGTGAAACATGCGCATCGATGTCAGGTCGTACTTGTCGACGACCGGGTGCTTGGAGAAGGCGAGAACCACGGGCGGCGGGACGTAGGCAAAGCTGATTTTGTATTTCTCAATGAGCTGGCACGCGCGCTCAAGGTCGAAACGGGGCATGCTGATGAGCTCCCAGCCAGTGTTGATAAAGACGAGGATGCAGCAAGTGAGGCCCTAGCTGAACGTTAGCAGGTTTGAGTAGAGAGCACCCTTTTCCCGGCACGCAACGTACGTATATGTGGAAGAACGGCGTGATGCCGAGACCCTTGTCGCCCTTGCCATCGGTACCACCGAATGGATGGAAAATCAGGCCGTCCATAGATGACATCTGGAGCACATTCGCAACGACGTTGTAGTGCGTCAGACACACGCCCTTTGGGAGGCCAGTGGTGCCGGAGCTGTAGACCAAGAACGCCAGGTCTTTGTGCACATCAACAGGCTCGGCCGTTGCGCGGCCCTTGAAAGACGGGTTTCGAATGGCACTGAAGTGGCGGAAGCGGCCCGACGGGTCGTGTGCGTCGCCGAGCAGGATAATGCGGTCCTCAGGGATGCCGACAGCCTTGGCGGCGCGCCGGGCGGTCTCGAGAAACGGCAGCTGGGTGATGACAGCCGTGGCACCCGAATCGCGCAACTGGAAGGTCAGTTCGTGCTCGGTGTACAGTGGATTGGCGGGCGAGCAGATGCCGCCGGCCCACAGCAGGCCGAGCATTGCCGGTGGAGTGTCGATGTTGTTTGGCGTGTAAAACGCCAGGACGTCACCGCGCTTCCAATTCCATAGCGATTGAAGGCCCTTGCCGAACTCGAGGGAGGTGCTGCGCAGGTCGCCAAATGTATAGCTGCGGCCGGTCTCGCTATCGGTGAAGATCTCTGCGCGTGGTATTAGCTGGCGGAGGGTAGAGCAGGGGGATTAGCCAGGACCACAACGAAAGGACTGTTGTACCTTTGCTGTCGGAAAACGGCTTCGACTTGCGCTCAAAGAGCAGCGACCAGAGGTCGACCTCTGGGATGGTGAGTGGTGGGAACGGCGACTCAAACGGCATTGTGACGGTGAATGCTGCAGAAAGGTACCGCAAAAGCTACCAATATGGCTTTTGATTTGCAACAAATGCAAGTGGAGCGGTAACACAGAAATGGTCGGATGAGAGCACAGGATGTGGGGAAGGAAAACAGATGAAGAACGTTGAAAGCAAACACAAAATAAAGAGGTACAGAGGAAATACAAATGGACCAAAGCGATCAAAGGGACCAGAAATACTCTTGGCAATGGCCGCATATTTCGGAGAACCAATGTCTCTCCGCAGTACTCCATAATTCAGCAATATCGTGGGTATCTTCGGGGGTGCAGTCCAGCTTCACTCCAGCGTCGCGTTTTGGGCCTAGCCTTGGTCTACCCCCTGTTTTTCACCTTGCGGGCGAAGCCTTGTGTTTGTTGATCCTTTTCTGATGTCTTGTTCTGACACCTTTGTTGTATTCCTTGGCTTGGCACAGACCTTTCGGCGCGTCTTTTCGGGGTGGTGGGCTCTTGTTCGGCTATCCGCGGACATCACGGGAACGCGATAACAAGCGCCGCTGGGGGATCCCAAACGTGACTTGTATTTTTGGTTGTACCATGTCTTGCTGTGTGCAATGCACATATTGCAGCCAGTCTCGATTCCCATCCTGACTTATCTGGACGCTGGCATACTTTTTTGCATAAAGAATGCGCGTGGAGCCATCATTCGGATTAGGCAGGTCTCGTCTGGACTCGTTTGAACTCGCCGAGCCGCAGTCTCCTCATTGGATCTAGCGCGTGTGGTCGTGACGTTGTAAATTCGATAAGCGTAAGGTAGTATGGGACCATTTGTGCGGGGAGAGCGTCCTGCGGAATAAGCCTGGGGTGATGGACTGCATTGGCTGGCTCCGCACTCTTGGCCATTAAGGCCGGCCGAAGCTCGCTTGCTCACGCCCACGCCCGCGCGTCCCGAATTTCGGCAGGCCTTTGCTCGAACAGCTTTGGAGCACCGGGAATGTTCGACGAATGTAGTTTGACAACGACAAGCATGGTAGGCGGTGAAGATCCAGAAACACGAAAACCTGGTGATGGCCAAAATGATCCTCGCCGGATGATGTGCTGTATCCTTGGCAGCTTGATTTCTATTCGGTGGTCAATGAAGTTGCGGGTACGAATGTCATGGTGCGTAGTAAATGGGCGGGCCATGCTATGCTCTTCTTTGGGATTGTTGGTCAGGGCGTGGGGCTTGGAAATGTGTTTGGAAGATTCTGCTATTGAAGTTTCAAAATGTGGCGTAGGATGTTTTGGATATGATCTTATGGGGCAACTCGAAGCAGAAGGCGCCACGGACATTTGACCGTTCCACGAGGCAAGGACCATGGGGTAAACCAATGTAGAAGGTTCGGCAGAATGAGGAAAGAGAGAAGAAGCAGAAACCCCGGAAAAAAGGAGGCGGAAACGGGTCGCTCTTTCTACTTTTTACGACCGCCAGCTCCTTCCTTTGAAGGAACAGCATCTGACAGTCAGCTCGTAGTGGCCATGAGCTTCCAACGGAGCCGGGAAGCAGCTACCGGAGTCGGCGCTTGGCATGCGTTGCCGCACCTGTCCAGCATCGACGATCGTGACGAAAATTGACGAAAATAATATCAAAATTCAGGAGAGCAAAGGCGTCAAAGCTCCAAAACCATGTCGACCCTCCGGTCATGCTTCCATAATTTTGACCAATTGTTTGCCGACGTCAACGAAGATGGTATTCTGAGCCAGAGTGTTGACGTCTCGGACAACGACGAAGTGTAGATGGTGGATATCGTTCATAAACGATGTTGGAATCAGGACGGACGGACGTCATAAGAAAGGAAGCTCTACCGGGTGACCGCCATCTCGATTTGATTGCAGCCGCCCGGCAAGGGAGCCTTGAGCGTGGAAGTTTCTTTCTCGCACATCATTTCACAGGATAAACCATTTGCCATCTGGGACTCTTGTACTGTTTCACTTTGCATGTTGGGTCTGCTTGGACCGCAGCGATTATTTTTCGTAATCATTCCCATTTCTGCTACCGGAAGACAAAAAAGAAAGAAAGAAAAAAGAAAACACCCCGTGGATCATATGTTCTTTTCTTCTAAATCGTTGTATCTAGATGGTGTTAATTGTATGAATTTCGCTGAGCACCATGCGCGCCAAAAAGGACACACCGAAGTAGTCAAGAAAGAAAACAAAGAGGTGGAAGTGACGAGAAAAGAAAAAGAGGTATAAATGGTAAAAAAGTTGGCTTCCGGAGGACAAGACGAGCGGCCCACAGGACCGACATGGTGTTTCGCTTCGAGGAAAGCCAAAAGAGAAAACGTGAAGTATGGTTTTTTGTTATATGCCTTTCGCCCTTCCCCCTTCGCGGCCGACGACGAAAGTTCCTCCAAAAAACAAGAAGTGAATAATGAAAAAAGCCTTTGTCGCCGACTTTGGGAAAATGAAGGATGCGATGAGTGCTGTGCCGTTGTCGTAAAAGAATGTTGGAAGACGATGAGAATCACACAAACAGCTCAATTAAAGTATTAAAGAATTAAACACATTAAGTAAGGTGATTGCGCGATTCTCTGGTTGAATTTGTCTTCGTTTCTTTGTCTGCCTGCCACCTATCACCCATCGGACACATCGCTTGGGGGGTCTTGTCTTGTTCGAGCGAAAAAGGGGGAAGGGATTCCGTCAGGCCAATCCAGCAGCCGAGAATGCAAGATAGGGTAGTTGCAACACATCGCGAAGAATGGACAGAGAACATCAGTTGTAAAAGGGACAAAGGGAAAAAAAACCAAGGAAAATGGTGGAAATCAGAATCAGATATCGTGAGAGAGAAGTAACAACGTCTGAAATGCGAAAAAGAAGAAAATAAGAGGAAGTCTCTAAAAATGCAAGGCAGTAGATCCGGACGTCGAAATCATGTGAATACGCGCAACAGTCGTCGTACGCATGTCCCCAGGCCCAGCGCCATCGCTCGTACCGTGCACTCTTAAAAACGAGATAGAATATGCCTCCAGAGCAAGCCATTCGACCGTCGTTCGTCGTTTCCGCTTTGTATCGAGATGGTGTCGCGATTCAAGACGATACCGATTAGTCAGTCGTCGTGCGGTGCTGTGTTGGCGTGTAGTTGTTGGTGATTTGTCAAAGTTTAGAAACCCATCCATGGCGCATCCCCCCGCTAATCCCCTCCGTTTCGCCGTAACATCGTCAAGTGTTGTCACCATCCCCCAAACACATTCTGATCCAGAGTTTCCGGAATGCGCTTATGCCAGGATGGCAACAGCAGCAGCCAGACCACCAAGCAGCAGGCCGCTCTGGATGAAAAGGCCCTGGGCACCGGAGGTGGTGGCGGTGGAGGGCGAGTTGGTAGGCGCAACGACGACGGAGCTGGACACGACGACGACGGTGGACGCGGCGCCGGTGGTGGCCGTGGCGTGGTGGGAGGTGGTCTTGTTGTGGTACGAGGTGGGCCAGGCGACGGTGCTCGTGTTGCTGACGGGCCAGTGGGTGGAGCTGGAGGTGGTCGTGTTGTGGCGGTGGGCCGGGCAGTTGGTGACCGAGGGGTTGCAGCGGGTGATGGTGATGGTCTGCGTCCGGGAGATAGTGGAGGTGGTGGTGCCAGTGGCAGCGGTGGTGGCGGCGACGAGCGAGACCACGAAGGCCAGGACGGTCAGGTAGAAGGAGGCGAACATTTTGGCGGTAGTTGTTGTGAGAGGCGGGTGTTTGTGTTTATTTGGTCAATTGTGACAAGTTGAGTTGTACGATTCTGAATTCTGGTCAGTCGCGACACTTCATTTTCAGGGCTGCCGTTGTTTTGTTTGGTAGGATGGCGACGCGATGAAACGAAACGAGAGAAAGGAAACCAAAATGGAAAGAAACGAAACAGAAACAAGCGGGCATGTCGATAACAAAATGGTCAACGTCGTCTGTCTGCCAGACACGTTTCATGAGCAGAGCATTTTGTTGACAGGGCGCTCTTCCTCATGAATAGGCGACGCGTCTTGAGTTGGAATGCCATCGTTGGTAGTCGTGACGCCAGGGAGACCTCTTTAAGATGCTGGCGAGGGGGACGGGAAAACAGTTTGTTGGTAAATAGGCGTCGCGAGGGAGACGTATGACATGCGCCGTTCGTTTCTTGTCCCTTTTCTCATAATTGTTGTCTCTCTCGTTCGCTCCTTTCCTCGTCTTGTCTCCAAACACAGCGCAAGAACAACTCATTAAAAACACTTACCTCCTGACGTCGTGACGTTGTGTTTGTGTATTTTCGAAATACGGCAGATGCACGAAAATACGGTTGTGAGAGAGATTGTCCGAAAGAGTGCTGTGGCTATCAAAAAGAGAGTGGTTGATTAAAAAATCAAAAAAGGAGTGGCAGTCGAAGAATCTAAAGAGACTTGACGAAAAGTGAAGGCAGCGACAGATGTCGAAGAAACGAATGTGATATCGGACAGTGATGGTGAAGAAGAAAGGAGAGAGAAGAGGAAGGGGAGGAAAGGAGAGGGAGACAAGAGTAAAAGGGGAAAGGGAGGCGATTTTCTCCTTTTCTATATTGAGGAGCACCGATTTGGGCAGCTTGGGGCAGATTAGGGGGGCAAGAGGCCTGTTCTTTCCCCCTGGAACGCAGATTATGAGAGGGAAGTAGGGGACGATTGTGGGACCGACGCGCCTGGGCCGTGACATTGGCAAGAGCAGGGAAGAACATGACCTCAAGGAAAGAGCATGGCACGGTCCAAGTTGAAAAAGGAAGTCACGCAGGGCCTGACTGGCATGACCAACATCCCACGCTCTCATACCAGTCGTTTACACAGCATAGACCCGTGCCGGCAATATCCAAGATGCATCTGCATTCTGCAGACGAGGGAGAGTGTACGGATTACGGACCATATGCACAATGCAGGCAGGCTGCCATGAGGCGGAGGCATTAATTAATTCTCGCCGCGTTTTTCACATCGTTCCTTCTCTTTCTTTCTTCTGGGAGGTGGGTGCAGTTGGGACCAGGATGTGTGGCCGAAATGGCGACAGAAATGGCGACAGGAAAGAGCAAATGAGAAAGAGGAAACTGAAGAGAGCGCGGGTTGCGCAAGAGAACATGGATGGAAAGAGCGACCGGAAAAGAGGAAAAAGCTTGGGAAAGAGCCTTTCATCCCCTGTCGCGCAAGAAAAACGCCACTGCGGTGCCACCACAGCAAAGGGCCTGTGGACCACCGCCTTGGGGTGAGAATGCAAACAAAAGACAAAAAAAAGACTTTTTCCTGGTGCTGACGAAGTGAGCCCTTCCAAATATGAGTGAGTCTTGGAGGCGCGCCACGAAAGTTCGCCGGCAGGAACCCGCCCAAAGCCAGGGGCAGGCCAATCATATTACAGTGTTTGTTGATGGGTGTGCAAGGGTGCTGTGGCAATTACAGGGGTATCCACCCTGTGAAAGACCCTCATTGGCTTAGTGATCCAGGGGTCCACTGTTCCTGCAGAAAAGGGAAAGACCGAAAGGCAGGGAAAGAGAGAGAAACAAGCCCTCAAAAGGACAAAAGGAAGGGGGGACTGGCATGCTTGGAATCGTGTGCCAAGAAAAACAGGTTCGATAGGTCGATCATTGGCCACAATCCAGGTACTGGAGGCTGGAGGGCCTGGGCCAGCAGGGGACGGGGGTATGCGATCGTGACGATGCTGGTCGTTTCACTGCGTTGCAGCCGTTTGCTGGTGAGGCGAGGTGGCAGCAATGGATATTAGAGGGGCAGTGGTAGGTGTTTGGCGGTTGGTTGTTTGGTTGTTTGGTTGTTTGGTTGTTTGGTTGTTTGGTTGTTTGCATTTGTTTGGGTTCGTCTCTTTTCTTGCACTGCCGTGTTCTCTCGACTCTTGAGCATTGGTTGTCTCGTCGGCCTTGGTAGTCCCCTCCCTGAACAAGGAAACGCTTCAAACGGGCACAATCTTCACGATCGTCAACAGTGGAATTTCGATAGTCTACGACGGTACAACCTGCTTTCTTATCATCGATTTTTTATTTGTACCCAGTCCGTCGCAATCTCCGTTCGTCTGGTCTTGTCCCTTAATCATTTCGTCTGGTCTATTGTTCTTGGTTGTTTTAGCACCCGTCGACTGGTTTGTTGTCTCCTCTTAGGCCCAAGATAGTCAGGCACAAGTCAAGTAAGGGCCACGTCAGGGCGGCCCCAGTGCGCCCTCCAATAAATGAAGAAGACGTTTGCGTGCTCTGTTAAATGGAGGGGAAGCTAGTGTGAGCGGGAGAAAAGTGACAAAGTCAGCAAACGGTCACTTGGTCGGCCCAGTTGCAAACGCTTTCAAGTAGAGTACTTGGGCTGTCTCCAAAATTGTTTGAGAAAGGATGTATTACCGTGGCCCCAAGTATCTTCAAAGCTCGGCAGGCCCACTTGGCCACCTTCATCTCGGTCGGTGGTATGGACTCTTGGTCCCCACCGTTGGCCCACTGGCACCCACTGGTGTGTCTTCGTACGAATGCTGCGCGGCCATGGAGTGAGGGTGGTTGGTGTGAGGTTGCGTCAGCTTTTTTGTCTGCCGGTGCGCCAAGAGATCCAAAGAAGGGATTGAGGAAAAGAAAGGTAAGATATCAGAACACTATGTACTTTGTACAGCAAAAATCAACACCTCGGCAGGGCGTTGAATCAGGATCATCCAGATCGTCACGATCGTCCGTCCCAAGGGACTATTACCACAGTTGGGAGTACATAGGCAAGGGGAGACTGGCAGAACTAGGTTCCGAGCGGCATGCAGGGACAGAACGGCATTGGTAATGGTGGCTCTCAACCACGAAACAAAACGACGGAACGCTGCAGAGAAGCTGAGGCGTGGCGCTCGTGTGGTGTCCCCATCGTGTTGTCGTCGTGTTGTCGTCGTGTTGTCGTCGTGTTGGACAAACATATTGGAATACGGCAACCGGCATCAGAGCGCAAAAAAGGACCAATGGCGCGTACTCACCCTGACAAGTGTCGGAGGAATATACGGATTGAAAGGCCGTGGGCGTTGAAAACTCTGATTCCTTGTTTCTTCGTTATTCGTTGGGTATTTTTTTGTTTAATGGGGTTTTGTCTCGGTCTTGTCTGACTTGTCACATCGCATCTGCCACACGTGAAAACACCAACCGCAGCGAAAAGGCCCGTAAATGCCAAGGCTTCTAGCCAAGACATTCAACGAACTGATAATTGCCTGACCGGGAACTCCAACAGTCCAACCCTCAAACATTGACTCAATTCCATGCCAAAAAAAAAGAAAGAAAGAAACGAAACGCAGAGACTTTCGCAAGACATGTTGGTGCATTACATGTGGTACAATTATGCCTTCCTCAGCTGAAATCCTCCATCGCGGGTGAAACGCCCGCGGAAAAGAAAGGTTGTCCTTGTCCACTTCCTACCTCAAATCTCCCATTCTGGCGTACGGAGTACTGTCTTTTCTTTTTCTACATCGTAATTACTATTCGTCGATATTGCTTGCTGGGTCAAGTCGCGCCGTAGTACGGCGTTGACCGGGGAGAGTTTCGTGGTTAAACCGGGGTCCAAATATATGCTAATGTTTGATGTTTGAAGTCGGTGCGGCTTTTTTGTTTCTTCTTCTTTTCTTCTCCCGGAGATTGAAGGACAATAGCGCAACGAAAACGGCGTTGCACAACCGTCACGGCACCACTATGTTTTTGTGAGACGGAAATGACGAGAACAACCTTGTCGTTGGAGGCACAAACTCGGGGGACTGCATCAAAAATCAAAGGCACAAGTACGACAACATGTGCCCCTGGATATTACAACCCAGCATTTTCTTTTCCTGTTATTTCGTACTTCCCATTTGGTGCCATCGCTCCCCTGCCTCCTGTAGACCCGCTTGGGATGCATGGCCTTCCGACCAGCCACCAGGACCGCCTGCATTGCATCGTCCGGTGTTTTCATTCTCGGCCCTGGCATGTTGTCTGTAAAGGAAAAAATATCGCAAACAAGTACCGCACAACGCCCATCCACGCCTTACCTCACCACCGCCTGCCTGTGCAGTTTTCATTGCATAGGATGCATGTCGTCGCGCCGTCGCGGAGGCCACGTGCCGAAGAACGCCTGGTCACCAAAGTAGAGGCTCACCTGCTTGAGTCCACGAAACCGGTCCAGCGCGTTTGCGGCGTGCGGTGATGGCTGCTAGCAAGTGCATGCGGTCCCAGCTCGAGGACCCAGCGCGGTCGGGCTGAGTTGCGACTCCGCTTGGCACAACACCGCCATGCTCGGAGCGACAATGCATCGAATCGCGCCGTGTTCTTGGTCAAACTGGCCCTCGCGGTAAGTCGTACAACGCCGTCTCCGTCGTCAACACATCGGCCTTGGCTGTGTCCATGTCCGCAATGTCCTGCCACACTGCCCTGTGGACCGACATCGTCAGCTCAACGTGATTCCTGTCCATATGGTGCAGTTGATATTCATGTCTTTGAGGAGATTCGAGGTGCGACTGCAAACTCTGGTTGTCCTCTGGGACTGAGATTCCCGGCCGAAAATGTACTTGTGGCCAAATGCCTCCACGGCAAGGCCCAGTGCAGCGCCATCGAGGAAGAGTCGAGCATGCGAGGTGACCATGGCTGCGATGACGCCCAGATTGTTGACAACTTGCAAAGTCTCCGCGTCGAGGGACGTGATATTGCCATCCTGCAACAAGTTCTCATCCTCAAGGCACAACGCACAAGGCACAAGGCACCTTGGTTCAATGTCCACTTGTGGAGTCGCTGTATCTGTTATCGACACGGAAGCCGTATTTTGTCTGCACCGAGGACGACTCAACGTCTCTGTGAATGCTGTATCAAGAATATAATTGTTGGCTTGCTGGTTCGGCTTGTGCTCTCATTTTTGTCTTGGAGCCCAAATCGCTAGTATAACCTGAGAGACGGTCACCGGCCCACCGTCAGGAGTGCGAGCGAGTTCTTGTCGTCATTGTCCAGCCGGGAGTGTGCCTGTTGTTGATGGTACAAAAGCTTGCGTTTTGTAGAAAGGGGAAGCTTTTCCTGTATCGTGCAAAGTACGGAATTCGGAATTCAGTTTTGGTCTACAAAACGCTGATTTGGGGAGCATTGGTGATTGGGGAAAGAGCACCAATGGCACTTGCTGTGCATGCGACGCTCTTTCTATGTGGAAGGAGGCTCAGAGACATAGCTTGGGAAAATTCTTGGCATGATCTTCTTAGTGGACAGGAAGGTGCGATGTGCGACTAGTTAGCTGTTTCCGGGGAAGGTACGGCGCTGGTGATGGACATTTTGCCTCCCATCTTATCGAGAGGAAGAATGAGGGGCAGTTGAGGCATGATTGTCAACGGGTCGCTGTTTCCTTCTTTCTGGCCCCCTTTTGTTTTGACACGGTACACTATTTCGAATATGCACTTATCCCGTCACATCTTGTCATCTTCGCGCAATTGCCCTCTTTTCTGCCCTCGTTTTGGCATTCGCTTTGCCCAGCGTTCTGCACCTTTCATTTGCGCACATCACCGCGCACAGCGACGCACAATGAGCTCTACCTCAGACACCAGCGCGGCCACTGCTGCTCTGGCGGAACGCACGGCGAATGAGGCCGCAATCAAGCGCAACCCGCACCCTGACTTCAAGGCTGTCGAAGCCTCTCGCCCGGCATGGAACAGGTCAGAGGAGTGGCATTACACGCAGGCGCCGGCGCCCGGCTGGCAATGGGGCGAGGGCGGCAACGACGGCGGCGCTTCGCTCGCAAAGACGCACGTTGAAATTGACCCGCACGAGCCCGGCCGCCCGGCCGCGTTCAACTACAAGCTGCTGATCTCGGCCATCATCCCCCGGCCCATTGGCTTCCTCAGCACACTGGCCGCCGACGGGACCTCCTCCAATCTTGCACCATTTTCGTACACCAACATGGTCAACCACGACCCGCCTATCTTTACCATCGGCATGGTTGGCGGCATTGCCAAGGCCAAAGACTCTCTGGCCAACATTGTGAACAGCAAGGAGTGCGTCCTCAACATCATCTCGGAGCATTTCGTCGAGGCGGCCAACTCCACATCCGTCAACGCCCCTTACGGCACGTCGGAGTGGGGTCTCAGTGGCCTGAAGCAGGCACCGTCTACGATGGTCAAGGCGCCGCGCGTCAAGGAGGCCATTTTCTCGGCCGAGTGCAAGCTCGTGGACCTCAAGGAGTTTGAAAGCAAGGCCAAGCCCGGCAACATTGCGGGCACGCTTGTCATCCTCGAGGGTGTCAACTTCTGGGTGCGCGAGGATGCCATCAACGAAGAGAGAAACATCATTGACCCCAAGGTATGTTTCCTCTGCCATGCCCTTCTTCCTCTCTTCTCTGCTGTTTCCCTCTGTCTGATGGTCCTTCTCTACTAACAATAATAGGTCCTGAAACCAGTCAGCCGTCTCGGTGGCATCACGTACGCCCGCACGACCGAGGGCTTCGAAATCCCACGCCCTGACTTCTCCGCTGTCACTGAGGCCAAAAACAGCAAAGAGCTGCTCGAAAAGGCGTCGAAACCGTAATGCCGTATAGACGAGTCGATTAGAATCGAAACCAGGTATCACGTTGACTTTTGTTCGTAGAATTTCGGAATACACAATAAACGATATAGATTTGGTCCGTTTGCTTTGAAATTGTTTTTATTATTTATTTTCATTATTATTTCATTATTATTTCATTATTATTTTTGGTAATAGGACTTGAGTACGACATTATTGTCGATGTCATCATCGTTGTCAGTCGCTTGGCTTGGCGAGGCTGAAGATCGGCATGCTCCATTGTTGCCCGCGCTGACATACAAAATAGTTTACCTTCTCACACCGCCCGCCACAGTCGCACTGGAAAGTAAGCCAGCCTTGCATGCCGTACCGCAGATACTGTCTTCAAGATATACCCGCTTCGAGACACTTCCAGCTTCGTCACCGTTCGCCTCACCCTTGCTAGCGGAAAAGAAACGATTTGTGAGAATTTTGTCTTGATGTTTTTTCTCTTATGGACATATCAGTGAACGGATCAGAGTCCGCTGGTGCTATCCGAACACGCCGAATGCCCGGGCGAGTTGTGGTGGCAAGTTAGGGAATGGCGGAAACGGACTTGATGTCCGCTCCAACATCTATCCGCGCCTTTTGTGTAAGTGTCCACCCCGGCCCCAACTCTGCCTCAACTTGAACGGCATTGAGTCCGTTCCGCAGAAAGCAATGCTCATGCACAACGGACGCAAAGGAACAACATTTAAGATGTCTACTCATCGGCCGTTGTTCTCTCAACACCTATTTAAATCATGTGTTTCGTGCTTTTTTGGTTTTCTTTTTTTTCTTATTCTCCATTCCATCTCTCGATAACATCAGAACTCGCCGCTGCAACACACCGAAATGGTCTCCGTCGCTGACGTCAAGGCGTCCAACGCCCGCATCACGGTTGACTCCGTGCCTCGTGTGTCGGTCTTGTGCGGTGCCACTGATGGCATCGGCAAGGCGTTTCTCACACGTCTCGTCGCAACTAAGCTCAAAATTCGCGTCTACGTCCTCGGCCGCAATGGCGACAAGCACAAGCCCTTTCTCGACGAACTGCGTCGCGGCAATGCCAACGCCGACCTGATCTGGATCGAGTGCCAACTCTCGCAGGGCTCATGCATTCGCAAGGCCTGTGACGAAATCCAGCGGCTAGAGACGAGCATAGACCTATTGTACATGAGTGCCGGCTTCATCAATGCGGGTAGTGCCAAGTCAAGTGAGTGGTCTCGAGACCCTTTCCAAGTGATTGTGGCTCTTGTGCGTTGTACTAATTTTCATGCCCAACTGTAGAAACGGACGAGCAGCAGAAACTGTCCATCATGCTGTCCTACTACGGCCGTTTGCTGCTTGCCATCCTGCTGCAGCCGTTGCTTAATGCGTCCACCAACAGCCCCCGCGTCATCTCCGTGCTGGCCTGCGGTAACGAAACGGCGGACATCTTCCTCGACGACCTCGACATGCTCAAGCCCGAGCACGCGAGCTTGACCCAGCGGTCCCACTCGCTGTCCACGTACACGACCATTTCTTTTGGCCGGCTCGCCCGTGAAAACCCGCGCGTCCTCTACTTCCATCACTACCCAGGCGGCGTCAACACCGGTGTGTTCAAGAAGTCGTTTGGCACGGCGTGGTACTGGCCGCTGCTGTCGCTCGCCCTCTGCATGGCAACGTCGCCTGCAGACGCCGGCGAGAAGGTCCTGTACATGGGCAGCAGCGCCAAGTACAGCGGGGTAAGCAGCAAAGAAGGAACCAAGGGCGGCGTTCCGTTGGCGTCTGGCCAGAGTGCAGGGCTGAACATGAACAAGACTAGGGGCGGCGGTGCGCTGTTCTTGGTTAACGACAAGATGAAGGAGCTCTACCAGGAGAAGGTGATGGCGGACCTGGAAAAGCGCAATGCGCCGGCTATTGTCTGGGAGAAGGCCATGGATACTCTCAAGCCTTACTTGTGAAGAGAAAGGGTGTCCAACGGCTAATATTTGTTCTATTTATTCTGCAGCATTTCATTTTCTGTTTTTATATGTCTATTGTATTTAGAAGTTTGCCATTGTAACTGGACGGTAATATTTCCATTAATTATAAGCTTTCCACTTTTTAATTTATTATGAGTTTTATTCGAGAATATACAAAGGGCTATTTCTTAAGCAGGTTTGGGTTCTTACAGAGCCTCACTTACACGAAGTGCCTCATTGCCGAATCCCACATTATGTGAGAACGATGACCCACTTATTTCTATATTTGGCTAGCCCCACGCGATCCCTAGAACAGGAATCGGACTCCAAGTCCGTTCGTCCTCAGGATTTAATGTTCCGTTTCACCCGTCGGACATGGATCGCCGTTGTAGTCGACTGCCAGCCGGCATGTGTTCTTTTCCTATTCACGAGGTCTCTTGATGCTGTAAACATCGACAGACATGGAAAAGCGAGGCCCGACGGCGGGGGCCGGTAACTATGGCCAGGCCTGCATGCAGTGCTTCAAGGCCAAGTGCCGCTGCATTGCGCGACCCGATGGCGGCGCTTGTGAAAGGTGGGCTCCGTCGTGCTTTCCTTACTATTGTCGTTTCCGTCTAATGAGACTAACGCCATCGCTCCTGCCTTAAGATGTCTTCGGCTCAAGAAGCCGTGCCAGCCGTCCAACTCGGCGCGCCGGCGCACGGCACAGAACGGCCAGGCCGGCGCTGGGGCGGCGGAGATTGCCAAGCTGGAGGGCCGTATCAACACGTTGACGACGATGCTGCAGTCGGTGATGGAGAAGGCAGGGCTGGCAGGGGATGCATCGACACCTGCGTACCCAAAGTGTAGCTTAATGCCGGTCCGGACCGAAACGGCAGGCACGACCGAATTTGCAGGACAGGGTGCAGGAGGAAGTAGCGATACAGCAAGCATGACGAGCATGTCATTTTATGAGGACGGGCTCGGGCCGGGCCCCCTTCCTACTCCGTTTCATACGCCCCTGCCAGCTCGACCACCACAAGAACAACAACAACAACAGCAAATACCACCGCCACAGCCTCCTCCACCACGACCTCCACCAACTCAAGCACAAACTGAGGTGGACTCCCATCTACCGCTGTCGCCGACACCTGAGCCGCCATTGTACGAGCTTTCGCTCAACGAGGCTGCATGGTATCTGGACCGATTTAGCACACACCTGCTGCCGCACTTCCCATTCATCGTCCTGCCTCCTGATACGACCGTTGACCAGCTATGTCGCGACCGCCCACTGCTCATGCAGGCCATTGTCGCCGTCGCCACGCCGTCGACGAAGCTCAAGGCAGAGCGCGCCGAACGGCTCAAGCAGACTCTGACTCGGTGTGCCTTGCATGAAAACCAGTCCGGCATCGATGTCTTGTTGAGTCTCCTCACCTACGTCACCTGGAGCACCGATCCCTTCAAGCAGCCGGCCAACAATCTGTCGCGCATGACCATGCTGGCCATCTCACTCGTCTACGACCTGCAACATGCGAGCCGCCATCCGCCTGCGCCCGACGCACAGTTTATTGCCATCATGACGCCCGGATTTGAGCGTCCCGGAGGAGGCAGTTCTGGATCGGGCGACACCGGCCGGCCGATGCTGCTGCCCAGCATTCTGGAGCACCAGCGCGCGTTTCTGGCCTGCTTCGTGCTGAGTTCCATTGTGTCGGCGTCGTTTGGGCGCATGGTGGCGCAGCGCTGGACGACACAAATGGAAGAGGGGTTGCAACTGATTGAGGCGACGGCGAGCAAGGGAGACAGCCCGTCGGACGCGAATTTCGCCGTGCAGGTGCGCCTGCAGGTCATCATTCAACGCGCCGCGCTCGTCCGCGAGCAGCTCGAGACCGACCGTTTCATGGCCCCCTCACCCACAACGGCGGTGCCCGTGACCACCAACCTGTTCATCAAGGTACTGCAAGGCCAGCTCAACGAGCTGCGCAGCTCCTTGTCTCCCAGTCTGCCACGACGGGACATGCTGCTTATCTATTCGCACTACGCGGATCTTTTCCTCAACGAAGTGACACGTCTTGTCAGCTCCGAGGCTCCACTGGCCCCGACGTCCGCACCGTCGGGACACACCGTCGGCGGGGCCATGGCAAGCAGCCAGTCGCTGCCTGCTCTGGAGCACATTGAGTGCCTGTGGCGGTCCGTGTACGCCATCAAGGCCTTTCTCGATGCCTACCAGGCGATCCCACCTCTGACCTACGTCGGCGTCCCCTTCTTCTTTTGGTTCCAGCTCGTGCGCTGCATCGTCCTGCTCAAGCACCTGGCTACCTTCAACGACCCCGCGTGGGACGGTCAGGCCGTGCGAAATGCGGTCGACATGTCGACCATGCTCGAGTGGATGGCCGTCAAGGCCGAGCAGGCGAGCAAAGAAGCTGGCGAACAGTCCGACGACGACATGTTCCGACGAGTCGGCAGCATGATGCGGAATTCGCTGGCGTGGGTGGTTGCGAAGCAGCGCGCTGTCGGCGCTGCAGAACTTGGTGATATGCCACAAAAACACGCAGACGCTGCCTCTCACTATCAGCAGGACGCGAGTGACCTGGGCGGCAACAACGCCGTTCTTATCACGGATGCACCGGTAGAGGAAATGATGGTTCCTGTCGACCCCCCGTTGACGGGACCTTTTGACATGACGGAAGAAAACTGGGTCGAAGAAATGTTTGGCTGGCCCATGGCGAGTATTTGACTGAAGCAACCTCGCTGCGAGTCTGATCACAACGAGCCCGATTTGAATTGGGCGAACCGCAAGGACAGCCCAGCACCACGACGTCATTATGTATACTAAACAAGAGGCCGGAAATGCCACTCTGCCGCCGAGTATTCGAAACCAGTGAGACCTGATTTTATTTAATGATGACGAGCAGATAATCAAAGCTGTGACGTTTTGGTGAAACGACGGCTGGTTCATTGCATCCTATAACAATGCGCAAGAAGGCGGCCCATTATTGGATAAGAGCTGTCGGCATTCTAAGCAGAAAATGAACAATACTATTCGCATAAAACTAATAAAGAAGTGGTTATATTGCAGAGCGCGCGATCCCAGGATATTTGTCTATGAAAGAACCTTGAGATTGATGCTTTTGTTAGTGGAGGAGCTCCCGCTGTGCCTGGCGCTAAAACGCCCGACGACGTCAGACAGATTTTCAGGGGTTTCAGCACCGGAGGTGGTAGCCCACGTGACGGTATTATAGCAGTGGGGAGGGAAGGGGCTGGCCCCATTCCGGACTGTTCCAGCACCCACCTGGAACACGCACCTGCCCTCCTTACCCCGCGGCCCATCGCCCGACGTGTCTAACATTGCACAGGCAAGAACGGACCTGCAGCTGAACTTCCTTCCTGCGCTCCTTCTCTTTTACGATACGAAGCAGTCGTTGTGATAGACAGCAACTTTGATAGAAACAAAACAAAAAGCATAAAAATACAGCAAACAGCAAACAATCCACTCTGCGATCCGGTCCACGCTCCACGCAGGACCACGCCGCCGCCACGATGACGACCTTCTCGACCGACCCCGCCCTCTACATCTTCACGTCCCTGACGGCCGGGTCGATGCAAATCGTCACGGGCACCTCGCGCATGGAGACCATTCTGCGCGCCAACAAGATCCCCTTCAAGGCCGTCGACCTCGCCACCGACCAAAAGGCGCGCATGCTCTGGGGCCGCCGCGCCGGCAAGGATGCCAGCGGGCGCGCCCGCAAGCTGCCGGCGCTTGTGCAAGAGGGCATTGTGCTGGGCGACATTGTCGAGGTGGAGGAGTGGAACGAGTACCGCGAGCTCCTGATGAACGTCAAGATCTACTGGGACGAGTTTACGCAGCCGCCCATCAGCGAGAAGCCGGCGGACCCGCCACCGAAGAAGAAGCGCGTGGCCACGCGGCCGCCTGCGGCCAAGGCCGTGGCAGAGGCGGCGGCAGCAGCAGCTGTTGCCAACAAGGCGGCGAGCGCAGCGTCAACGGCCGCGGCCCCGCCGCCACCGCCCGGCCCTGCACCCCCGCCGTCCACCACCGTGAGCGGTTCTTCCGCTTCCACGACGACAGCCAAGACGACGACAAAGGCCGGGGAGTCGACGGCCATTCCCATCCGGAGCATTGCCGACGAGGCAGCAGCCAAGGCGAAGCAGGTGCGCTCCCAGAGCTTGCGCGACAAGGTCTACGGGAAGGGCGGCAAGCCCGAAGACAAGAAGGAGGCCATCAACGATACCAAGACGGAAGAGGGGGGAAAGGAAGACGAAAAGAAGGACAAGAAGAAGGCGGCTGAGGAAGATGACGACGACGAGGAAGAAGAATCGGATGAGGAAGAGGACAGCGACGACGACGATGACGATGAGGAGGAGGAAGAAAAGAAGGAAGCGAAGGACGCAACACCGGCCAAGGCATCACCGGCCAAGGCAGCTGCAGCAAAGCCGGCAACAGCAACGACACCAAAGAACTCGGACAAGAAGGCCAAGGAGGACGAGGAGGAATCATCAGACGAAGAGGATGACGAGGATGAGGACGATGACGAGGAAGAGTCCTCTGAAGAGGACGATGACGAGGAGGAGGAAGAGACAAAGGCTCCGCCAAAGAAGCCCACAGCAGCATCTACAGCAAAGGCGGCGGCAGCAGCAGGCAAGACGGCCAAGACCGACGCAAAAGACGAGAAGAGCAAGGATTGGAAACCGACCGATGTCGATGCGCCAGTAACCAGCTTGCACGGCGCCCGTGTCGACAGCAACCTATCTGCCAAGGAGATTTCCGCCATCGAAAAGGAGCAGGCGATTGCTGAAGAAGACGAGTCTGACGAGGATGATGAGGATGAGGACGATGACGAAGAAGAATCTGAAGACGACGACGACGATGACGACGACGATGATGATGACAGTGACTCAGAAGATGAGGAGGAAGAAAAGCCAAAGCCAAAAGAGAAGCCAAAGGCCGAGGAGGAGAAACCTAAAGCCAGGGAAGCAAAGGCCAAGGCGAAGGAAGACAAGCCCAAGGCCAAGGAGACGAAGCCAAAGGCAAAGGACGACAAGCACAAGGCAAAGAAGGACAAGGCAAGGTCAAAGAAGTAGACGTGGCAAAGGAGAGCACATTTTATCGTAACAACGTTGGCTATCTTTCACGGTGAATCTTTGCAGCCTGCATTTTGTTCTTATTTTTGATTCGCATTTTCATAATGAGCCCAAGTCCCACTCATTTTATTTTACGTCTACTTTCCCCCCCTTTGCTAGATTTTAAAGCTTCAATTTACCAAACGTCGAATCAAACCATTGCCATTCAAGCATGAATCAGATCAGCGACGAGAAATGTGGCGCGAGATCTAGTGTATTGCTGATATCGCAGACGAAGAACGCAGGCGTGTCTGGAGCGAAAATAGCATAGAAACATCAAAGACTGGGGAGAGACCATTGGAGGCGGCTGGGAATTAAAATTTTTCTTTTGACAAAATGGGTAATCTGACAAATGCCTCCACAAACCGCCATATGTTTTCCCGTCTTTACTTTCAGAAAGCATCGCCGCCGGGGAATACAAGGAAAATTAATCAAAAGAAATGGGTAAACATATAGTAGAGACAGGATCACAGACATTGGCAAGGGGAAGCGGGAGTAACACAACGATGAAATATAGTACATTGGCAAACCGGGATATCAGCACTGTGCAATGGGCACCTGCGTACCAGCGATTTATATTAGTCGAAGCTGGCCGGCCCTTGGGCTAATGGGTCCAGGCTCGGGTACACTTCATAGAAGCTCTGGTACCGGGCCTCGGCCCTCTGGAGTGTCGCCTCGTCTAAGCTGGCCGGAGCGCCACCCGCCTCTTTGCTCTTTGTCGCGGTAGATTGAACTGATGCCGGCCTTTTGTATGTTAGCAGTCGGCACGTTCAAAGACATGCATCGACACATAAATCCACGGTGAAGGGGGAGAAAAAACGGAAGGAACTCACCCAAAGATCTCGCGATCCATCTCGATAAATTGCTTCATCGAGTCCTTGCCACCTCTTTGCTGGAGGAACGTCAAATACGCCGCGTAGAACTCCCTCTTGGTCGACTGCGAAAGACGGCTCCGTGTCCGCATCTCCTTGATGACGTTGTCGACACGCTCCGCAGCCTGCGCCGCCGTGTCTGCCGTCGTCGGCTGCACCAGCTCAAAGTCGAACCACTTCCACCAGAACTGCCGGCTGTCGGCGTAGTACTCGACATTCTTGACAAACACGGTCCGTGCGTCGTCGACGGAGCCCTTGATCTTCCAGAGCAAAAAGGCCCATTCCGCGACGATGACCGCCTTGATAAACAGGTCGATGTCGGGCTCGCTGAGCGTCTTCTTGAACACATCAATTGCCGCCTCGAGGCCCACCTGCCGACGCTCTAGGTTGGCGAGCGACACAATGGTCTCGACGCTGCTCGGCAGCACCTCGAGCACCGCTTCGTGGATGGCACGGGCGATGTCGACGCGCCCACGGCTCTCCTCAAAGTAGGCAAACTGCAGCCGGATGGCCGGCCGGCTGATGGGCACAAACAAGGTCGCGGCGCGAAGGTACACAATGCGAACGTCCTCCTCTTTGCCCGGCTGTGCCGACATCCACCGCGCGTAGCGGAACCAGAATTCGTCGTAGTATGCGCATGTCACTAGACAACGCTCGTACAAGAAGACGATGCGCGCGTAGTCGCCGCTGGCCTCCTCAAAGTCCAGGTACTTGCGCCAGTTGGCCAGCTGGGCGTGGTCGAGCATCGTCACATGGAAGTACGGCCGCTTGATCTCCGACTCAAACGCCCACCGCTTGGTCGTCTCTTCCTGTGTCTTTGTAAACGTCTCGTAGGAGAGGGCGTCGGCCTTGGCACGCAGAACCGCCTCGATTTCAGGCTCGGTCTTGCTGCTGTAATGGGGATCCTCGGCCTCGAGATCCTTCCGCAGGCGCGCGAGGACCTCTTCCGATGCAAGCTCAGCAATGGGCCGCGTCTGCGCCAGCTGGCGAAAGCGCTCATAGTACCGTGCATACTGGTGCATAGGGATCTGGATGAGGCGCTTCAGGATGGCGAAGATGTTCTCAGTTGCCTCCAGCCGTTCCTCGTACTCGAGGTATTTGTCCCAGAAAGGGTGGGCCAGGAAGTCAAGACCAACTTGATCGGCAGCGCGATTAAAAAGCCTAGACAATAGGTAGAGCGTCAGTCCATATTCATTCTCACACACATCTGCTCACGGGCCACATGGGGGCGCCAAGACGCAGAGAAGGCAAAAGTGGCTTTTGCACAAAGGGACGACAGGAGAAGCGAAAGAAAAGAGCAGGGTAGAGGAGAGGGGGTTGGGAAGGGAGCAAAAATACAAAAATATTGTTTTTGATCCGAAACAGGTTGGAAGTTGTAAATGATTGAACGAAGAGCATGGTGGGTGCCGAAAGTTGCAGGGCATATATCGATCAGAGCAAAAAAGGTAAAGTCAAGCAGGGCTGCGAGCGGTTTGCATCGGGAGAGCAGAGGCGGCAATGGCTGTGCACACGAGCTGCAAAAGCCGTTGCCGCCCTTCTAGAACGGTATAAATGCTTGTGTGGTTTGTGAGAGAGAGCACATCCACCAGGACGTTTTGGTTTCAGAGTTTTCAGAATGGCCATGACTGGATATTCTCACCGTGAAGGGTTGATACGATGCGGTACGCTGACATGACGCACGAAGACACGGGGCCTGTCTCTCGGGCTGCGCATTGCGCATGTCACCGGGCACTCCTCCATCCTCGCTCTTCACACGCGTTCGTCCACACGTCTCTTTCTCCCCGTCCTCTTCAGTCTCCCTCGTGGCTGTCTCCGCGTGATTCTCGACTCGCATTCTTTCCCGTAATCGGGCTCGCAAACTACTGGTTATGGGTAGATAACAAAGGATATGGGGAGAAATACCACAATTGGGGCGCAATGGGGGCGGCGGAGGGAGGAGGGACACGGGGGGCGATGACAACTCTGTCGGGACTTACTCTCGCACGGGCTGGGGCTCGTGGGTCGTCTCGAGCTTGAAGGTGCAGTACTGCGTCCACAGATCGACCGAGTTGGTGATGCTAGCACAGCCGCGCTCGTAAATCATCTCGGCCGCCTCGGGGCCCGAGATGTTGAACTCAAAGTCGGCATACTTTTTCCAGTAGCCAAACAGCAGCGGGAACTTGCGCAGCATGCGGTCGTAGGTGCTGCGCATCGTCTCGATAGCCAGCGGGGTCGAGTTGCGGTTGAGCCCGCCGTCAAGGGCCTCGCACGCGTACAGCAGCTTCTCCCAAAGCTCGAAGTTGTCCGAGTCGTCATCCTGCAGCAACGAACAAAGGTCAGTCGACGCTCAATACAAGGGGCATCAATCAAAAACGCAAGAATCAGATGCGGCGCGTACCAGCTGCAGGCTCAACGTCCGGATCTCGGCGTTCTCCTCGTCGGTTCCGCCATAGTTGTAGTCAGCCAGCGTAGCGTCAGACATGATGGTGACGGCCGGTTCTCAAACGGCGGAGACTGCGACGGCGTGAAGGAGGAGGCAGATCTGTTTGCGATGCTTTTGCTTCCGACAGAAAGCAGCAACAGCGATGGCAGGAGGCGAGAGAATACAATATCGTATATTCGAGGCAAAGGGACGTATAATTGTAAGCCGATACGTTCGGGCGCGTCTGCGCGTTTCGTCGTTGTTGGCGATGGGTGGTGCGCGTTCGCGATAGCAGAGACAATATGGTGGTGCAGGAGGCAGAGAAAGCAGAAAAGGCAGAGAAGGCTGGAACGAGCAGGATTTGGCGCTGACGATTGGATTTGTTGTTCTTGCTCTCTTTGGCTTTTCTTAGCGCATGTGCATTCGTGCAATGCTGTACGCACGGGCCAACCAGGCTGGGTCGTGCCTTCCGACTTGCTGAACTGCCCAGAACGGCTAGTGCGATGACCTCGCGTTTGGTCTCGTCACGTGCAACTCCATTGCACCTTCCGGTCGCCACATTGGTAGCTGCGTCATGGTATCCACCCGGCACAGGCGGTGGTATGCAGTGCTTCTTGTGGACGGCAGGTGCCCCTCAGCGTCTCAGCTCAGCGTTGCGGCAACAGCGATGTCTATTTTGGGCGCCGCATCTGACGACCTTTTTCTTACTTTGTGATATACACACGGACACAGCACAAGCATGCACACGCCCAGCTAGAACGCCAGTAGCAATTCGTACGGCCTCGGCCTGGCACGCTTGCGGCAGAACTCTCCATCGACGGCAATCTCTCCATCCGAAAGCGCGTGGGCTCCAAGCTCGACAGCTGAAATCATAACGAAATCGGTACTTTAGAAGCACGAGACCTATCTAATACCCGATCGACCCGCCTATACGGATAGCCTTCTTTTGATAAAGAGCTCTCTGTGCGAAAAGCGATGCCCGGACGTGTCCTGCAACTGTTGTCTGCCTCTCCAACGCATCTCGCACGCGTGAGCGTCCTGGTTGTTCCCTTTGGATCACTGAATTGATTTTGCAATTTTTTGCAATTTGTTGTCTTCTCCACCTTTCCCTCGACAAACGGACGCCTCCTTCTCCTCCTTCTCCTCCCCGTACTCCTCGTGCAGAAGATCAATGGACTACGTCGGTAGCACGGTGTCGTGGAACGGCCACGTACCGGATCCCGACACCTCGAACCAGCTGCTGATCCGCGACTTTCCACACCGCGCCATCGCCATTGTCTCACAGACACACGCCCTCATCTTCCGCCACAGCGGCGCTGGAAGCGAATCACAAAATGGCAGCAGCAGCAACGTCAACAGCGGGAGCGGAAATGGAAGCGGACACGGCGGCGGCAGCGCCAAGTGCATGGTCGAGTTCTCTCCCATCTCCAAGGGCTTGCTGAGCGACTACCGATCGCTGACACCGAGGCCCGTCTACGGCACGTTGGGGCTGATTGCTGTCAACCAGGACGTTTTTCTGAGCGTCATCACACAGGCACTGCGTGTGGCCACGCTGCGGCCGGGCGAGACCGTCGAGATGATCCAGCAGGTGCAGTTCTTCTGCCTCAACACCAACGAGTACGACGACGTTCTGTCGGCCGCCATCGACCCGTGGGATCCGGATGGCGACGCGGCGTCCGTCTACTCGCAAGGGCTCAGCCGCCGCGATGTGCCTGTCGAGCACCCGTGCCAAGAGCTCATGAAGCTGCTAGGCAACCGCAGCTTTTACTACAGCACCGACTTTGACATGACCAACCGGCTCCAGGACCGGTCCGCCGACGCCTCGTCGTTTGACATTGACAACTTTGACGAGTCGTTTCTGTGGAACTCGTTTATGATCCAGCCACTCGTCCAGTTCCGCGCGCGGCTGCAGCCGCACGAGCGCAGGATGCTCGACGCATCGCGCATTCTCACATCGGCCGTGCGCGGCTTCTGCTTGACCGTCACCATCCCGCAGTCTGTGGCGCCGCTGCGCACCACCCAGTCCGGCATGCCGTCGTACCTCACCGTCATCTCGCGGCTGTCGTGCCGACGTGCCGGCACGCGCTTCAACGCGCGCGGCATCGACGACGACGGCAACGTGGCCAACTTTGTCGAGACTGAAACCATCTACTGGAGCCCCAGTGGCGTCGTCTTCTCGTACGTGCAGGTGCGCGGCTCAGTGCCCGTGTTCTGGGAGCAGTCGCCTGGCCTCATCCCCGGCAACCAGAAGATCATCGTGACACGGTCACCCGACGGTGCGCAGCCGGCCTTTGACAAGCACTTTGACGACCTGGAGACGTCGTACGGCGCCGTGCACGTCATCAACCTCCTGAGCGAGGCCAAGCCTGGCGAGGCCGAGCTGAGCCAGTGCTACCGCTATGGTCTGCGGCACACCCCCCTGGGCCAGAAAAGCGGCGACAAGGGGAGCTCGTCCGACCATGCACTGATCCGGTCCACCGAGTACGACTTTCACGCCGAGACAAGGGGCCCGACGGGCTACGAAGCGGCGCAGGAGATCCGGCACTACATTCGTGACTCTGCCAACGGCTTTGCCTACTACCTGGCCATGGAGGCGGCCGACGCACGGAACAGCGGCACCAACGGGCGCAAGGCGAGCACCGCAAGCGCACGCCGCCGGTTTGTTGTTGCGCTGCAGCAGGAGGGCGTGTTTCGCACAAACTGCCTCGATTGCCTGGACCGCACCAACCTGATCCAGACCATCATCTCGCAGATGGCGGTCGAGACGTTTTTGAAGCAGCGCAACGAGTCGGCGGGCCCCGACTTTTGGATGCGGCACTCGAACCTGTGGGCCGACAACGGCGACGCGCTGTCCAAAATCTATGCCGGTACGGGCGCGCTCAAGTCGTCGTTTACACGGCACGGCAAGATGTCGCTGGCCGGCGCGATTGCGGACGCGCGGAAGTCGGCGACGCGGCTGTACATCAACAACTTTGCCGACAAGGGCCGGCAAAACACAATCGACATGCTCCTCGGCCGGTTGTACGGCCAGGCGCCGGTCATTCTCTTCGACCCGATCAGTGACTATGTCACGCTCGAGCTCAACAAGCGCGCGGCCACCTTTTCGTCGTCCGAGGTGATTAAAATGTATGTCCGGGTTTGCTGTTTGTCCATTCTCCCCTTTTTCCTTTCTTTTTTTTTCTTTCGTTTTGGTCTAACAGAAACAGATGGGTTGGCACGTTTAACCTCAACGGTCGCCTTGATGGTTTGCACGAGGATCTGTCGCCGTGGCTCTTTCCAGTCGCGGTGCAGTCGGCCGAGCAGCTGCCCGAGATTGTGGCGATTGGGTTCCAGGAGATTGTGGAGCTGAGTCCGCAGCAGATTATGAACAGCGACCCGACCCGCAAGCAGCAGTGGGAGGTTCTCGTGCTCAACACGCTCAACAAGCAGGCTGCCGCCCTGGGCGGCGAGCCGTACGTGCTGCTGCGCAGCGGCCAGCTGGTCGGCGCGGCGCTGTGCATCTTTGTCACGTCGTCGTCGCTCGCCAAGATCAAGAACGTCGAGGGCAGCGTCAAGAAGACGGGCATGTCGGGCATGGCGGGCAACAAGGGCGCCGTCGGCATCCGGCTGGACTACGCCAACACGGCCATATGCTTTGTGACGGCGCACCTGGCAGCCGGGTTTGCCAACTACGAAGAGCGCAACCGGGACTATCTCACGATCCACCACGGCCTGCGGTTCCAGCGCAACCGCGGCATTGACGACCACGATGCCGTCCTGTGGTTTGGCGACTTCAACTACCGCATCGGCCTGGGCCGTGAGCGCACGCTGGACCTTGTGCGCGCGCACAACCTCGAGACGCTCTACGAAAACGACCAGCTCAACCTGCAGATGGTGGCCGGCCTGGCGTTCCCGTACTACTCGGAGGCGCGCATCACGTTCCTGCCGACGTATCGGTTTGACATTGGGCGGGACGACTACGACACGTCGGAAAAGCAGCGGATCCCCGCGTGGACGGACCGGATCTTGCGCCGCGGCCAGCAGCTGCGGCAGACCGCATACAACTCAGCGCCCTTGCGGTTCTCGGACCACCGGCCCGTATATGCGCATTTCCAATGTACGGTCAACATTGTGGACGAGGTACGGCGCGACAAGATCAGCCGCGAGCTGTACGAGCGGCGCAAGGGCGAGGTGGGGGACGCAACGGCCAACACGACGGTCGAGGACACGGACGACGAGGACCTGATTGGGTACGACGCCATTGAGCCCGGCCTACCGGCGGCGAGCTCGGACCGGCAAAAGTGGTGGCTGGACAATGGACGGATGGCCCAGGCGCGCGTGCAGCCGCCGCCGCCGGCCAACCCCGCGACACACACGGCCATTCTGAACCCGAAGCGGCCGGCCAATCCGTTTGCGCCGACCGACGAGCCAGACTGGGTGGCGGTCCCACGTGCGGAGTCGCAACTGTCGTCGTTTTCGAGCCTGTCGACGTCGCCGTACGAGCACATCAACCACTCGACGGTGTTGTCGTCGTCGGCCAACAGCCAAAATGGAAGCGGTGGTACGACGGGTGGGACGGCCGGCCTGGCGGCGTCGAGGAAGGGTGGGCAGCCCATGGGCCAGAGCTTGTCGTCGCAGTTCTACCGGCAAGAGACAACGACGACGACGGCGCCGCCGCCGCCACCACCGCCGAGACGAGGGGGAGCCGGCACCGGCGACAGCAACGATGCGACGTCGGTGGCCAGTAAGAAATCGGCCTCGACCACGTCGTTCGCATCGACGTTCCCAGGGCCGCCACCGCCACCAAACGCGCGGGTGCCGCCGACGGTCAGTGGCGTCACCAAAGCGCTGGACGAGCTGCGAGCCTCGTCTTCGTCCTCGCCGTCGTCCTTTTCCAACGCCAGTGACCGCCACGGCGGCCCGCCCGTGCCTCCAAGGCAGATGCCGACCAAGGTGAACACCACGTTCCCTCCACCGCCAACAAATGCCATGCCGCCCCGACCGGCGTCGGTTGCCTCGAGCACATCGGTGTCTGCCTCCGGAACAGGAGCAGGAACCGCCCTCTCGGCCAAGGGTAAACCCGTGCCACCCGTCGCCAAGAAACCGGCGCACTTAGCATCCGCACCGTCCACGACACCGTCTCCGACATCGAGCCGCGTCGGGTTGGCATCCGAGGATGGCGCCGGTCGCGGGACGCCACCTCCCAAACCGCCTCGGCGACGCACCGAGGCGGCACTGCCTGCAACCACTGACGCACCGCCGAAATTGCCGGCGCGCACCCCGACAGTCGCGAGCCACAGCCACCCACTGCCGACACCGACGGCATCCGCAAAGGCACGGTCCAGCAATGTTGATCTGCTGGGCGACGACGAGGCGGGCACCAGTCTGTCCCGATACCAACCCCTGCAGCCGTCATGAGCACGCGAATCGCAGAGCACGGGCATGCCGTGAACAAGTAAAAAAAATCCTACGGACGGGAGCACACGTCCGACCTGTGATTTGCATGCAACGAGTCGGGTGGCAGAAGCGGCCTGCAGATGGCATGCGCACAAGGCCGGAGGGTGTACTTTGGGTGTACGTCTGGCATCGTTGCGGCAAGGGAAACAAGACGAACAAAAGGCCATGAGTGCACGAAGCATGAACCACGGCAGTAAGGTCTGTTATGTCGTATCAACAAATACGAATGGGCCAACAGGCCAATATGCCAATATACCAACATACCAGTTACCAATATACCAATATACACGAATACATATACAAGAGTTACCAAGCAAGGTTGCAACCACAAGCAATGCCCAATTCAATATACTCGGCATAACGAGCCGCAAATGGGTCAACTCTGCAGTCGATGAACATGGTGTGCCGCCTGCGAGCCGTCCAGCCAACAGGAGCACGACTCTGCCATTGCAAAGCCAGCTGGCCGTCTTCCGTCTTGGCATCCCTGTAGAAGAACCGCTGGTCGTTTCACAGAGTCCTCCCGAGCCATCTCAAGAGTTTCGAACGATGTCATGTTGGAGCGTTATGAGGCCATCTAATGCGTCTATTTATTGTGCTATTTATCATGACCTTCTATTTTCTATTTACCTATGTTTTTTTTACTGTCCGCTGGTATGTTGTCCACACTTTTGTCCACTTCTTGGGTATTTGTATTTATTATATTTGTTCTCTGCCTTCTGCCGTGTCTACGTCATTTGCCGCCAGACACTTATTGCCTCACTGAGCCTCCAGCGGCGGTCGGCCTCCAGCAGCAGCTTCAGCGGCTCGGGCGGCCTTTGCGCGTTGCCATTACGATATGTCACATGAGTATCTGAACACGCAACCGAAATAATCAATCCCAATGTATCTCTGCCACCGCTCTTTTGGAGGCCCGTTTCGTTACCGCCTTTTCAATGGCGCGCGCCGACCGTTGGCGTCGTTTTAGGGCTTTACGGTAAGTTAAATTACCTTTAGCAGCTTTTCAGGGCCGCTTGGGGCTGCGATGTGCCCTGGAAAGCGCCGCTCTCACGCTAACTTGTTGGTGCATCCAGTGGCGCTCTCTGTCGCGTGCAGCGTTCTTGGCACGGACAGTGTATGACGCTAATTGCTGGTGACTACTTCCTCGTCTCTACTAACCCGCCCACAATGTTGAAGTGAGAGGACCCTGGGCCGACCTTTTCAACTCAAACGGTGAAACAAAAAAAGAAAAAAGAAAAGAAAAGAAAAGAAAGAAAAAAAGAAAAGAAAAAAAACCCAAACCGGCAAGCAACAAACACCGTCATGGCTGAAAGGCTGATTTACTTGCATGAAAAAAAATGGTGGACTGACTAACGCATACAAATGGGAAGGAACGACACGACCACGAAAAAGAAAAAAGGCGGCCGTTTTGGCGTGGGTTGGGGGTTGAGTGGACAGGCACCACGATACGCCTTCTGAAAGCGGAAGCCACCACGTTTCGCTGCTTTGGCGCATCACAAACAAACCAAGGAAGGCGCAGAAAAGCATGCATCCTTGGCTGTCGGCAGGCTCGTTTGCCTGGCTCGGTGTCCCGTTCTCCCCAACCACCTTTTGGCTCATGTCGGCGACAGCTAGTGTTTTCGACTCAATCAGAAAGTTTCCTCCTCCTGCAAGGCTTTTGAGGCAGGCTTTGAGGCTTTTCTTCCGAGAACCCGAAGCTCAGGAGACACAACGAAGACCCTTGTTTTGTGACTAGTTCCTTCCACTGCGCTTCCGGCGCACGCAAAATATCGTCGACAGTTGTTGTTTCCTTTTCTTCCAGACGCACTTTGTCAAACACTACTCATCGCCGCTCTACGCACTTTCCTTCCTTGCCTTGGTCTTGCATCGCGCCTTCCCACGACATTGTTCTCGACGTACTTCCGCTTTCGATTATTCCCCCTGCCTTCGCCAACCAGCCTCATCCGCCATTGTATATTTCCTCTGTTCACGCCTTGGACCCGATCATACTTGTAATCTATTCCCTAAGGCGACCCTGCCTTGCCCGCCTGCCTGCCTGCGTGCTATGACAGGCCGTCTCAATCAGCAATCAAAGCACAACCACTCCGTACCGAGGTCACGTCTTCTTGCCTTGGTTTACGCTGCGCTCCGTCCTCTTCCGCGTCCAGTTTCGTCCTGCTTCCCTCGCACCTTCCTCTCGTCGCGACTGCCGCCATGTCCTACGACTGAACGAACCAGTCTATCCGGGCGCCTTCCTGTTTCTCATCAATTCTCAGCTTCTCGTTGGCGTAACTGCCTCGTTCCACCGCAATTGTGGCCATCACGTTCAATTTCCTGATTCGTCGACTGCGGGCGGTGCTTTCCGTGCACTCTCGACCACAGCACCAGCCCCTGAACTACCAGAGTGCCTAATATGCACAACCCGCCGCTGATGTCATTTGGCTGTCTTTGAGCTGTCTTTGAATCCTTCCGCCTTGCGTCTGTCCTGTGCTCACACTTGCTCTTTCCTTTTTCCACCTCCGTCCTTTCCACAACTTGCCCTTGCCATATCCGATTCACGACGTCGAAAACAAAGGAAGCACAAGAGCGACACAGCACATCGACCACCATCAGCGATCGTCATCTCGAGCCTTGCTTCCTTTTCCTCCTCATTTATGACACAGACCGTGCCACAAGGACCACTTCGCCTCGAAACTATGGCACCTTAAGCAAGGAGGCACGAAAAAAAACAGCAATTCGAACGAGCGCACGACACCACGTCCGACTTGGGAAGGACGTGGCCGATCATTTCGGAGAGCATAGGCAGGTGCAGTGTCCCTTGCGCCTTCTCTGCGGCCCAACCCTTTTTCAAAACGGCCATCGTCCTGTTCTTGCAACGGCGTCGCCAAAAAAGAACAGGAAAAATAAACGAAAAAATGGCGGCCCACAGCGCGCAGGCGCCGTGGTTGCCACAGTCGCCACTGCCCTTGACACCACCACATACTCAGCTTGCAGGGCAAGAAACGCCCTTGCTAGGAATGGCCGCCGGTCTCTCCGCCGGCGATAGCCAGAGTCATGTCATTCAACTAGAGAGGGAAAGAGCTACTGGCTCTGTTGGCTCTTTTGCAAAGCTAGCCATGTCAGGTGCGCAAAACGGGCAACAACACCACCAAGACGGGCAAGAGCCAAGCCCTAGTGGCAAAGAGCAAGAACTCGACGACCGTCTGCAAAATCGTTCTCTCAGTCAGACCGAATGCCAAAGTCAACGTCAACAACAACAACACCATCACCGTCACCATCACCGCGCTTCACGCAATCCCGCGAGGAAGCAGGCCGCCTACGAGGGCTCTGACGCCTCGACACCTACACGCACCCGCTCTACCTCCTCCTCTAACTTTACTCCCCTCTCCACCTTCCCCTCGGCGACGTCGCGTACCTTTGCAGTCGACGGCCAGACTAATCTTAATTGCGTCGATCCTACGGGTAACACTACCGATACCCACTGTGATAGCACAATTGGCCGGGCAGAGCACATGCATGTGATCAACAACGCCGATAAGCACAGCCAGCACGCTTACGACGACAACAACGGCGACGACGACGGCAACGGCAGCGGTTCAACAGCCGACCATGTGCCCTTTGCCCAGCTACAGCCCATCCATCTCTATCCAACATCTCAACAGCAACACGAGGACCGGCACCGACAGGACTCGGCCTTCTTGTCCACCCCGGCACCGCAGCCTCATTCGCTGCTAGCCTCGCCTCCGCAGTTGTGTCTGCGCAGCCGATCTGGGCGGAGCGGAAACGGAAGGATCGCAAAGACCGGCGTCTCCAGTCGCAGCGGCAGCCACAAAGATAGCCACAGTCAGCGACCGTCGTTGGAGGGACGTGGAGGTAGTGTCGACGGCAACCACAGAGACGAGACTACAAACGCTGTCGGCCGTAGCGCAGACACCAACGCAGACAACGACGACTCCGACTCCGAGAGCCTAAACTCGCATGCGCTCGCCTGGGACCAGACGTGCCTCCGAATTGCCTATCTTGTCAGCACCATGGTCGCGCCATCGGCGAATGCATCGGTTGGCGGTGGTCCCGCCGACAAGGACACACAGCTACCCACACCCTTGGCCATGGCCCGTGTCGGCAGAAACCCTGGCGAGAATGGTGCAAATGGCGTCACCAGCATCACCAGCGTCAATGGCGACACGGCATCTCTCGGCATGGGCTCGGCCGAGTGGGAGCTGCTGCCACAGGTGCTCGACCACTTTGTCGATTTGTGCACACGGGGATGGACCGGCACGGAGCCCGACAAGAAGCGCCGTAAGATCGCCCAGATGCTGCACTGGCAGAACGAGGTGTACGCCTGCGGCAAGGCCGCCTACTGTGGCTGTGCCGACGGCAGCCCCGTGCCCAACGACAGCCTTCTTGCGGCGGCCCTTGAGCTGCCATTGCCGCTGCAGCCAGTCTCGGCGACCAGCTCCGCCCCAGCCTCCGTCACCACGTCGGCGGCTTCCGCATCGGCACCGACATCGGCAACCGACGAGACCGTTGCTTCCATTGGCAAATGCGCCGCCATGTGCAGCCGATGCTCTTTCCCTCTGACCCCGAATCGACCGATCTTCTGGGTGGCCGACCCCAAGGACGGCACCGACGAGGTCGCCTTCAAAAAGGTCCGCCGCACGCAAGAAGGGCCTGGTGACAGCATCCGCAAGGCCATCAAGAGCTTCCGCGGCCTTGTCTTTTCCAAGAAAAACAAGCGCAGCGTCTCATCGCCCGCTGGCGCCCTCGCCACGACGACCATGCTGGCCGCTCCGCGTGCCTCCTTCACGCCACCCCGGTCGTTGTCGCCGTCCATCCTCGACAAGGCCACTCTGTCCCGCCGCGCGTGGTGCCAGTGGGAGGAGGTCAACTGCCAACGCCTGTGTGACGAAAGCGACGAGAATCGTGCCCTCTTCTTCCCGCAGACGGCTATGTACACTGTCCGCGAGGAGGATGTCGAGGTGGCG